TTCTCACCATACTTAAGGTCTTGGTCTATTGTTGATCCTCATAGCACCCACATGAGACAAAAGAATAGCATCTTAGCTCTGTCTTTCGTGAAATGGAGTTACCGTTTATTGCATAGTAAATCGGACTCAAAGTAGCTTCATGCGCAAAAACACATTATGAAGGCATGTTAAAATCGAAAACGAAAGCAGAATATGTCTCCTCATAAAAGCCGGGGTATCAGTGCGCTGCTACATTAAAAACAAATGATTCGATACGCGCTTCTGATTGGTTCTCGGGATATAGCGGCTTTTGCTGTCAAAGGCATCTGGCGTTTAGCGGCTTTTGCAAACAAACTGTTATTTCTAAATACACTGACGCTGGGATTTAGATAATTTGAAGCAAACCTATATGTTATGGGTGTGAAGTGCCTATAGCATTCACTTAATGCCATTATCTCATTTTGGGCGGAAGCAACGTTTAGTGGCTTTTGCATCTGAAGTCTATATTTTTTTATATATATAAATTTTTATATATACAGTTGAAGTCAGAGTTATTAGCCCCCTTGTTTATTTTTTTCCCCAATTTCTGTTTAACGGAGAGAAGATTTATTCAGCACATTTCTAAACATAATAGTTTTAATAACTCATCTCTAATAACTGATTTATTTTATCTTTGCCATGATGACAGTAAATAATATTTGACTAGATAATTTTCAAGACACTTCTTTACAGCTAAAAGTGACATTTAAAGGCTTAACAAGGATAATTTGGTTAACTAGGCAGGTTAGGATATGTAGGCAAGTTATTGTATAACGATGGTTTGTTTTGACAGTCGGGGAAAATAAAAATAAAAAAATCGCTTAAAGAAACTAATAATTTTGTCCTTAAAATGGATCATAAAAAAATGTAAAACTTCTTTTATTGTAGCTGAAATAAAACAAGACTTTCTCCAGAAGAAAAAAAAATATTACCAGACATACTTTGAAAGTTTCCTTGCTCTATTAAACATAATTTGGGAAATATTTTTGAAAGAAAAAAAATCAAAAGGAAGCTTAAAATTCTGACTTCAACAGTATATATATATATTATTATGGCTCGACAGCGCCATGTATGTGTATATATATATATATATATATATACACACACACACATACATGGCGCTGTCGAGCCATATTAATAATAACAATAATAATAATAATAATGATAATAATTCCTTACATTTTATATAGCGCTTTTCTAAACACTGGCTTCACAAAGGGGCAATCTCCTCATCCACCACCAGTGTGCAGCATCCACCTACCAGGATATGTTGTACGCAGTGAATGCCCTTCCCGCTACAACCAATCACTGGGAAACATCCATACCTATACCAGCGACCTTCTTGCTGTGTGTGCTAGGTTATTTGTTTTATTTCGGCTAGAATAAAAGCCGTTTTGAATGTTTTAAACACCATTTTAGGGACAAAATTATTAGCCCCTTTAAGCTAATTTTTTTTCTCGATAATCTACAGAACAAACCATCATTATACAATAACTTGCCTAATTACCCTATCCTGCCTAGTTAACCTAATAACCTAGTTAAGCCTTTAAAGAAATTTAGAAATGTGTTGCTCAGGGACATGGACACCTCCAAATGATGGTAAAAGAGTCAAATACTGTATTTATAAGATATAATTCACCTAAAAATATAATTTTTGTCTTCATATAATGCTGTATTCGCAGCCGGGAAGTCACACGTGATGTAAGCTGCTGACTGTGCGGGCATGCACCCTACTTTATGATAGACACGCTCGCGCATCTACTTTAGTTAACAGAACCTGCATAGACTGTGAATAAGAGATAATAAAGTTGTAAATAATATTCAGTTTGTGGCACAGAGTGATTGTTTCAGAGCCGAGCGTGAAGTATGAATAAGCACTTAGCAGTGAAAATGAAACCGAAAGCGTGCACATTATTTAAATGATCATATCGCATTTTAGAGTTATGATTGCGACAAGCATTTGATATGTTTTTTCTTACATAGCAAACACATAGTTGTGCATGAAATGTTTAGAGTGTCAGTATAACTACTCTAGCCTGTATAATGTTGATTTTACCAGTGAATTAAATGGTCTAATAATGTTGTCAATGACAAATTGCAAGCATAGGCCTTTTTCTCAAACATAATTCAACATCAGAATTGTAAGTAGTATAGAATTATTTATAGAAACCAGAAGACCTACACATAATAATAATATTGTTGCTTTACCATTTGTTTGAGAAAAAACAACAATCTCATTTTAAGCTTTAATTTTCATCTAGAGAATCGTGAAAAAATTGTGATCTTTATTTTAAGCAAAAAAAATAAATAAATCGTGATTCCCATTTTAGCCAGATAACGCTTTTTTATTTATCACGATAACGATCATTTTTCGATATATTGTGCAGCCCTAACACTGACTTACATTTTCTGATGTCTGGCAAGCCAGTAATGAGCGATTCCAGCGTTATGGATGACTTTTGCAGTAAAAACGTAAATCATAAATTCACAGAGAAAGTATGCTTACATTACACTCACCGGCCACTTTATTAGGTACACCTTACTAGTACTGAGTTGGACCCCCTTTTGCCTTCAATACTGCCTTGATCCTTCCTGGCATAGATTCAACAAGGTACTGGAAATATTCCTCAGAGATTTTACTCCATATTGACATGATAGCCTCACGCAGTTGCTGCAGATTTGTCGGCTGCACATCCATGATTTAATCTCCCGTTTCACCACATCCCAAAGGTGCACTATTGGATTAAATCCTGGTGACTGTGGAGGTCATTTGAGTAGAGTGAACTCATTGTCTTGTTCAAGAAACCAGTCAGAGATGACTGAGATGCGTGTGGTGCGATCTGGTCTTCTGCTGCTGTGGCCTAGACGCCTTAAGGTTTGAAGTGCTGTGCGTTCATAGATGCTCTTCTGCATACTTCGGTTGTAACGAGTAGTTATTTGAGTTGCTGCCATCTGATTGGCTGATTTGAAATTTGCATTAAGGAACAGGTGTACCTAATAAAGTGACCATTGTATATCAAAACATCAGTTTATATTTTCCGAATCAATTCAACACCGAGTTATGGGATCAGAAAAATATCAATCTGTGAACTGTTTTTATACTTTATAAATAAACATGCGCTATGGAAGAGACCAAAAAAGTATGACAATTTACAGTATATAACATACTTTATAAGAGTTGGCTCTCTATAGAACATTTTTTTCATTTATGAGGAAAGCTTGGTTATGGATGTGAACGTCTCTCCGTTATTGATGTGACAGATGTTAAATTGCCACTTGTGGGATTTTGTCAATCAAATATAACAGTTTGAAAACATTCCCAAAGACTTTTTTTAATAGAAGCCTAAGCAAAAACCTAGAAGGGTTTCACTAATTTGGTGTCGCTATTCAAGGTTGACATTTGCATTTAACTGCTCTAATGGATATTCATCTCCCACACAACTACTGAGTTCAGTGTCATTTAAAAAAAAAATGGAAACAGGCAGATGTTGTGCACATCAGGGCCTCTACTACGCGCTCCAGAATCTGAGGGTGGAGGCATCTGCTAGCAGTTTTCCCCCCAGAGGCTGCTTAAAATAGCCAGGGAAGAAAAGCTGTGCAGTAGAGGTGAACACGAGCTGAATAATACAGCTGAAGAAAGCAGACGATTAGCTCAACTCTAAATGAAAACCGTCATCCTTTAGTCACTCTCGTGTCATTCAGACCATTCTTTACTGACATCCTTAATAAAAGACAAAGGGAGTTGTCGGGCAGAATGGTGTAATCTACTCTTTTCCATATAACTAAAGTAAAGGGTGTATACCAACAAACTCTGATTTAAAAAAGGGCTAATAATACAGTGTTAATATGATTTTCTGTATTTTAGGCCATATTTGTCTATTTTGCATTGTGTCATTTTAAAGTTCACGGCATAACTTACAGTTTATAATTTTACCAATCAATCAATAACTACACTTGTTATTAAGCAATTAAAAAAAGATAAGAAAAACATACAGATAAATATATATTTCACACTCACTGGCCACTTTATTAGAGACACCTTACTTGTACCACATCCCAAAGGTGCACTGAGTTGCTGCCATGTGATTGGCTGATTAGAAATTGCGTTAACGAGCAGTTGGACAGGTGTACCTAATAAAGTGGCCGGTGAGTGTTCATATTTTGAACAAAATATTTTTTTAATAATCAAAGTGGGAGAGTTATTCAAACATTTTAAAACAGCGACAAAGCAATCCCAGTCATATTCTGTCCACTGAAGAAAATTTGCTTTTTTATTTTTCATACACTAAGAATAGCCTCCACAGATTCTCGACAATTCAGAGTTTTGAAATGAACTGGAACCATGCAAATGATGTCATAATTGCAAAAAGTGAGTTATAAAGAAGTATTTATAGTCATTTAAGTATTCAGTGTTTGGACTTTCAGCAGTGAAATTAAAAACAGAACAGAACTAAACTGAACTTCAACTCTAAAAACTGGACTGACTTCTATGTTAAGCTGCTTTGACACAATCTACATTGTAAATGTGCTGTAGAAATAAACATAAATTGAATTGAATAGTCAGAAGTATGGTCCAAAATTCATAATCACAGCATATGAAAAAAACACTACAATATAAAAATATGTAAACTTAGAAAACTTAATCTATTTTAGTAAAAAAAAAAAAAAAGCTGACCAGCACATCAGCAGACTGTGGTCAACTCCATTAAACAGTGTTTCTATTGACCTGAATGAAGTTTCCAGAAAATGTGACTAATTTCACTTGCATGAAACTTGCATAAACAAACAGCCATCAGTTACAAACTTACTGACAGATGAAATAACAAAACGACACATGTTCTTTGTCCGTCAAAATCCTTTTTTCATATTTTAATATGGAGTACGACGTCTCTCTCTCTCACACACACACCGCAGAATTGAGAAGAAAAAGCGCTAGAATTATTCACATCATTATTAAAGCTAACGTTAATCTGAACGCTTACCTTCATGTCGGGCACCATCTGCCTCACTTTAAAGGTGGTTTTGGATCCTGTCAACATGATTTCAACATAAAAGGGCTCTGGACGAACGCTATCAGCATAAATAGTGTATCCGAAGGAGGTTTAGCGGTAAATGTATGATCCTCTCCATGTATACGTTACAGAAATCGGATGGTCCACGTCCAGTCTGCATCATTAAAGCGCTTTCACACATTTCTCCATCCTAACCATGTCAATATAGTGAATTATTCGCGATATCACATCTATTTTTGCTGCACAGAAAACCCGCTTTTTTCCTGAGCATTTGTTTACAGCTCCTTCGCCATAGTGTGTAATGACACGGGTGTTACTGAGTAACAAAAACCAGCAGGACCGAGTCTCTTAAAGGGCCAGCAGCGCCAAAACACACCGAACAGTCTCAAACACAAAATGAGCTGCAGATTTATTTGGACGTGCGTACCACAGAACTAAATCAACTATTTATGCAATATGCTTACAGTAAATAGCAATTTCTTTACGAAATACCCGCATGAACTTGACTGTTTGTGCAATACACATCGGAAAATGCTGCAATTTGCAATCTATCCCGGAATGCAACGCAACTGTTTTGGTCCTTCATTTACCTTGTGATAAATTAACTTAAGTCAGCACCAGCTATATTAAGACCTAACCTTGTATTGGGTCAGGTTTACCTTTTTATTGCATTAAAGATATATAAAAATATATAAAGAAATACTTTTTTGCTAAAAAAAAATATTAAAGGGAACCTATTACGTCCCTTTTTACAAGATGCCAAACAAGTCTCTGATGTCCCACCAGCTCCCAAAAAAAAAAAAAAAAAAAAACTGACAAGCCTATTGATGAATAATATAGTTGGAGTGTGTGTTAAAGAGATTTACCCAACAAATTAAATTTACTCACTATTGAGAATCTTTCTTCTGTTAAAGATAAAAAGGGATATTTTGAAAAATGTTAGAAACCTGCAACCATTGGCTTACCATAGGAAAACAAATACCATGGAAGTCAATGGTTACAGATTTCCAACATTTTCAAAATATCTTGTGTTTAACGGTTCAGGCTGATAATGCACCATGTCATAAAGCATGAATCATCTCAGACTGGTTTCTTTAACATGACAATGAGTTCATACAGTAAAAATGAAAGTGACAATGTGACAAAAATGACAACGAGAAGAAAGAAACTCAAAGGTTTGAAACAATTAAAGGGCGAGTAAATGATAAAAAAAAAATGGTAACACTTCAGCTTGGGTCACAATTCACGGTATTAAACCACTACAATATTAAACTAACACTACAAGCTTAATACTAATGAGCTGCTTATTAGTAGTTAGTAAGGTAGAAGTTGGATTTAAGATTTGCGTAGGATTAAGGATGCAGAAAAATAACTAATACTTTAGAACTAATAAACAGTTCATAACTTAATAAAAACATGTAGGGTTACAAAAATTCAATCATGTTGTCCCAACACAAACGGATCAAGTTAACATAACAAATTTAGGTGGATTGAACATAAAAAAATAAACTACCCCCCCCCCCCCCAAAAAAAATCTCAAGAACTGTGTGGTTTCAGTTCATTATAAATTAGTTTGAACAAGCAACACTTTTTTGACTGTAGGCAGGTAATAAGCTATTAGCATGAATTGTGACCTAAACTAAAGTGTTACCACAAAATAGTCATTTTTAAATAAACTACCCCTTTAAATATTGTTCCACCAAATGCACAAAGAACCAATACAATAATGTTTAGAAGTTATTTTACAAACAATCTGTTCAGACTCACTGTAAAAACAGTTTAGTTGACTTAAAAAAAAAGTGAGTACACTTGTAAAAATAATCCTGATTACCTTAAATTTTTACGCGGAATCAGATTAACCTTATGAATCCATTGAACTTATATTATGTTAAACTGACTTAAAACAGCTAGCGTAACTTATTAAACAAAGTTAATCATGTTCTAACTTAATTTTATAAGTTACAATGACCCAAAACTATATGCTGTCAGGACTAATTGATCATAATTTTACAGTGTAAACCCTTTGGCTTAAGATTATTAGGCAATTAACTGTGCATAACTCTAAAATAATTCAATAAGTGAACTTTACACTTTTAAGTTAAAAGAGATTTACTTGGATTTTTAAGTAAATTCAACGTGTTACTTTAAAGGCAATAGACATAACTTTAAGCAATCACTTCAGAGAAAAAAAAAAGTTGACTCAACTTAAAAATGTAAGGCAACTTGCTTTACAGGTTTTTTTTTTAATTGACTAAACTTTTAGCCCAAGTACTGCACTTAACTTGATTTAAGTAGAGTCAACAACAACAAAAAAGCTCTGCAGTAGGTTGCCGTATAATTTTAAGCTGAGTCAACTTTTTTTTAACAGTGCACTTGACTTTCCATACGCTGTAAACAATCCTGGTTGCCTTAAATTAAGCTGAATCAAACAAAATTTTTGAATCCATTGAACTTATATTATGTTAAACTGACTTAAAACAGCTTGCGTAACTTATAAAATTAAGTTAGAACATGATTAATTCAGTTTAATAAGTTACAATGACCTAAAACATATGCTGTCAGGACTAATTGATTATATATTTTTTACAGTGTAAACCCATTGGCTTAAAATTATTAGGCAATTACTGTGCATAATTTTCTTAAATAAATTAAAGTGAACTTAACACTTGTTAGCTACGGGAGATTTACTAAGATTTTTAAAGTAAAATTAACGTGTTACTTTTAAGGCAATGGACTTAATTTTTTAAGCAATCACTTCACAGAAACAAAAAAAGTTGACTCAACTTAAAATTTTAGGGCAACTTGCTTCACAGCTTTTATTAATTGACTCGCCTTTTAATCCAAGTACTGCACTTAACATGATTTAAGTAGCATCAGCTATATATAAAAAAAAAAATAAAAAAAAAGCTCTGCGGTAAGTTGCTGTACAATTTGAAGCTGAGTCAACTTTTTTAACAGTGCACTCAACATTTTCAAACAATTGTAACAATTGCCTTAAATTTTGAAGCTGAAACACATCAACCTTATGAGTCCATTGAACTTATATTATGTTAAACTGACTTAAAACAGCTTGCGTAACTTATAAAATTAAGTTAGAACATGATTAATTCAGTTTAATAAGTTACAATGACCTAAAACATATGCTGTCAGGACTAATTGATTATATATTTTTACAGTGTAAACCCATTGGCTTAAAATTATTAGGCAATTACTGTGCATAATTTTCTTAAATAAATTAAAGTGAACTTAACACTTGTTAGCTACGGGAGATTTACTAAGATTTTTAAAGTAAAATCAACGTGTTACTTTTAAGGCAATGGACTTAATTTTTTAAGCAATCACTTCACAGAAACAAAAAAAGTTGACTCAACTTAAAATTTTAGGGCAACTTGCTTCACAGCTTTTATTAATTGACTCGCCTTTTAATCCAAGTACTGCACTTAACATGATTTAAGTAGCATCAGCTATAAAAAAAATAAAAAAATAAAAAAAAAAGCTCTGCGGTAAGTTGCTGTACAATTTGAAGCTGAGTCAACTTTTTTTAACAGTGCACTCAACATTTTCAAACAATTGTAACAATTGCCTTAAATTTTGAAGCTGAAACACATCAACCTTATGAGTCCATTGAACTTATATTATGTTAAACTGACTTAAAACAGCTTGCGTAACTGATAAAATTAAGTTAGAACATGATTCATTCAGCTTAATAAGTTACAATGACATAAAACATATGCTTTCAGGACTAATTGATTATATAATTTTTACATTGTAAACCCATTGGCTTAAAACTATTAGGCAATTACTGTGCATAATTTTATTAAATAAATTATGTGAACTAAACACTTTAAAAAGTAAAATCAATGTGTTACTTTAAAGGCAATGGACTTACTTTTTTAAGCAATCACTTCACAGAAAAAAAAATTGACTCAACTTAAAATTGTAAGGCAACTTGCTTCACAGCTTTTTTGAATTGACTCAACTTTTCATCCAAGTACTGCACTTCACTCGATTTGAGTAAACTAAACAAAAAAAAAAAGCTCTGCAGTGAACTACCGTATAATTTTAAGCTGAGTCAACTTTTTTTTACAGCACACTTGACATTTCCATACACCGTAAACAATCCTGGTTGCCTTAAATTTTTAATCTGAATCCATTAAAATTTATGAATACATTAAACTTATATTATGTTAAACTGACTTAAAACAGCTTGCGTAACTTATAAAATTGAGTTAAAGTATAATTAATTCAGTTAAATAAGTTACAATGACCTAAAACATATGCTGTCAGGACTAATTGATCATATTTGTTTTTACAGTGTAGCTGGTCTTTTAGTTTAGTTACCTTGTCAATGCAGGATCAAAGAACCATTTCACAGCAACTTCCAAACCGCAGATAGAGACAGCAGAAGAGGTTCAGCATCAGTATCGAGCTGGATATGAACCGATGCAGTGTGTGTGTGTCGTTGTGGAAAAGGCTTGCTCTTGAAATGGATACCTGCAAAGCAAAAACAAATGAAAACTGATCCCAAAGATATCAGTGTTGCGATTACTAATTCATCAGACTCTCACTTTGAATTTATTAGAGCAAAAGAACTCGCAGCTGATGGCCCACAAAAATACTTCATAAATAAAACAAAGATCTCAAATACCAATCTGGCAACCGCTGAAATAGAAAGAATTATTTCGCACATCCAGTGGGAAGTGAACCACCCTTTGGCAATTAAATGTACAACTTCATCAGGGAGAGTGAACTTTATTTATTCTTTAGCCTGTAAACTGTGTCCTGACACAAGGCAAAGATCACATGCTGTGGTAATTAGCAGTCTTAAATGGCAGACAGGGCTTGCTGTGAATTAAATTTAAATGACTTCACCTTGAAGTAACTTCAGACACTTGGGGACATTCGTTTCTTTGCTTTTTAGTTTTGTTCTTGTTAAATTTAATGCATTATATATATTCATATATACACTACCTGACAAAAGTCTTGTCGCCTATCTAAGTTTTAGGAACAACAAATAATAACTGGACTTCTAGTCGATCATTTGGTATCAGAAGTGGTTTATATGAAAGGCAAAGGCCTCTAGATTACTCTTATTTTACCAAATTAAAATATGATCATGTCTTGAATTTTAATGATTTAATTAGGACAGTAAGGTCTGACTTTGCTTAGACAAAAGTCCTGTCACCTAACAGAAATAATGTCCAGTATAGAATATAAAGTCATGCTGCAGTGGAAACAGAATGAATATTGTGTACGACTCCCACGAGCTTGGAGAACTGCATCCATACATCTCTGCAATGACTCAAA